GTGCCTCTTGGCGCTCCACGGGATGGTGCGCGTGCCAAACTCAGCATGAGCTCAGGTTTCTGTGTGAGGAGGGGGGTTAAGGTGTGCCAGCCGAGCTGGTTGTGGACGGTCTGCCCGTCTTGCCCGCCCTGGCCATGGACCACGTGCGGCCGCCGTCGAAAAATAGTATGACGGGAATCTCATGGTGGCTAGCAAACCAGCTGTGCACCAAACAGCTGCCCGGCATGCTGTGGTGCGACACCCGCGACATGAGGGCCGGTCCCATGACGAAGGAAAGCATCGGTCGGGAGCTCATCCTCGACATCGTGGATGGGGAAGCTCGCCTACACCCCGTGGTGAGTGGAGCGAGGAGCGGCGCAAGGGCGACGCCACTGGGTATCCCACCTTGCATCGCAGGGCCGAGCTATATTTGCGAATGCGCCAGCCGACTCGCGCATCGCGAACTGTGTTCGCGAATGCGACGCAGCGCATCAGGGAGAGGGACGTGCAGAGGCATTCGCATGTCACGAATCGTGATCGCAAGTGCGACGCAGTGGGCCGCACAAGTGAGGGGCTACTACCACGAACTATGTTCGTGGAGCAGCTGGCCCTTGATCGTTGAGCGTATGGATAGTCCATTCAGTGCTCCACCAACAGTCTACTGCCAGCCTCTGTTCCGTCGCGACAGCAACTTTTGATTAGGAGCCTGGTCAGTAGAAGGCACCCAACCGTTGAAATTCTGTAAAAAGGAACCTGGTCAGCAGATGGTACCCAGGCACCGTAATTTTGAATGAGGGGAGTAGACAGTATAACTCCCCACCCTTCGGCCGATCGGGAGTAGCGCGGCGTAGCCAGCCATGGCGACGGGTGTTCACCATCGGACCCCGGCGGCGCCAGAGGCTTCGAGTCTCGAGGGGCCCAGTCCGGGCGACGCTGGCGGGCGAGGCGGGGTGCTGCCGTCGCTCTCCTGGGGTCCATCCTGGCCTGCGTTTTCGTCCCAGATGGATTTCTGACGGTCCCCGGGGCTTGCAACGGGCTCGACAGGCCAAAGTCACAGACCCGCTTCAGACACATTGGAAAACGATGCATCAAACCGAGCGTCGTAATCGTCTGCCTCGAGGAGCCTGGGCGCCGTCGCGGGCGACGCCGAGTGCTACGACACCTTCGCGCCTCTCTTCGACGCGCTCCTGCGCGATCATTACGGCTGCGGCGGCGGCGAGCTTCCTTCGGCGCCGCCCTTGATGAGCGCAGGCCGCCGTCGTCGGTTGTCGTCTTCGTCTTCGCTGCCATCGCTGTCGTCATCGTCGTTATCGTCGTCGGTCGTCGTCGTCGTCGCCTGTCGTCCGCCGTCCGGCGTCGGCCGTCGATCGTTGCTCGTCGGTCGTCGTTCGTAGGTCGTCGGTCATTGGTCGTCGGTCGTTGGTCTTCGGTCGTCGTCGTCATCGTCGTCGTCGTCGTCATCGTCGTCGTCGCCCGTCGTCCGTCGCCCGTCGTCCGCCGTCGGTCGTCGGTCGTCGGTCGTCGGTCGTAGGTCGTTGGTCTTCGGTCGTAGGTCGTCGGTCATTGGTCGTCGGTCGTTGGCCTTCGGTCGTCGGTCGTCGTCGTCGTCGTCGTCGTCGTTGCCGCCGTCTTCATCTGCCTCGTAGTCGTCGGTCGTCGTCGTCGTCTGCATCGTAGTCGTCGTTGTTGTTGTCGTCGCCGTCGTCGGTTTCATCGTTTCGTCGGTCTTCGGTCGTTAGTTCTTTATCGTCGGGCATTGGTCGTCGTCGTCGGTCGCCGGTCGTCGGGCGTCGTCGTCGCCAGTCGTCGCCGTTATCATCGTCAAGGGTCGTCGTTGTCGCTGGTCGTCGTCGGTCGTGGCGGTCGTTGTTGTCGGTGATCGTCGTGGTGGTCGTCGTTATCGTTCTCGTTGTCGTGCCCTCCGTCGTCGTCTTCGTCGTCGTCGTCGTTGTCGTCGTCGTCGTCGTCGTTGTCGTCGTCGTTGTCGACGTCGTCGTCGTCGTCGTCGTCTTTGTTGTCCGTTGTCGCCGTCTGCAGTCGTCGTCGTCGTTGTCGTCGTCGTCGTCGTTGTCGTCGTCGTTGTCGTCGTCGTCGCCTTCGTTGTCCGTTGTCGCCGTCTGCGGTCGTCGTCGTCGTCGACGTCGTCGACGTCGTCGTCGTCATCGTCGTCGTCGTCGTCGTTGTCTTCGGCCGTCGCCGTCGATGATGTTGATGATAATGGTGATGCTGCTGCTGGTGTTGCTGCTTCTGCTGCTGATGATGATGATGTTGTTGATGATGCTAATGATTATGATGCTGATTATTATTATGATGATGGTGATGATCATGATCATGATTATGATGATGGTTGGGAGGAGGAGGTCGAGGAGGAGGAGTAGGTGGGGGAGGACACAGGAGGAGAATGATGATGATGATGATGATGATGATGATGATGATGATGATGATGATGATGATGATGATGATGATGATGATGAGGATGATGATGATGATGACGATTATGATGATGATGATGACGATGCTGCTGATGATGATGATGATGATGATGATGATGATGATGATGATGATGATGATGATGATGATGATGAGGCGGAGGAGGAGGAGGAGGAGGATGATGATGATGAGGAGGAGGAGGAGGAGGAGGAGAGGAAGAGAAAGAGGAACCAGAGGAGGGAGGCGGAGGAGGAGGAGGAGGAGGAGGCGGAGGCGGAGGCGGAGGCGGAGGAGGAGGAGGAGGACGAGGAGGAGGAGGAGAAGGAGGCGGCAGAAGAGGAGGATGGGGAAGAAGGGGGAGGAACAACGACGAGAAAGGGAGGGACCCCTCAGGCGTGCCGAGCGGGCTGACCTCGCTGCGGCCTGACCCCTCTGGGAAGTACGTGCTGTCCGCCCAGGCTGGGGGCGGCCCATACCGCTCCCCTTCCTCCTCCCCCTCCTCCCCCTCCCCCTCCTCCTCCTCCTCCTCCTCCTCCTCCTGATCTTCTTCCCTCCCCCTCCCCTCCTTCCTCCTCCTCCTCCTCCTCCTCCTCCTCCTCCTCCTCCTCCTCCTCCCTCTTCCCCTCCCCCTCCTCCTCCCTCCCCCTTCTCATTCATCTTTTTCCTCGTCCTTGTCGCACCCCCCGACGCGCGGGTACGGCGTGCCGAGCGTTTCGCATGTGGTGTGCTCGCCATTTTTGACCCCGAAGCTTGACACTTGCAGAAGTTGCACGGAGGGTGAAGGGGGCCGTTTTCGAAACGGGGCTCTCGTTTCGGTGCCGCGCGCATTCGCCTTAAGCAGTTGCAGCAGCTTCCTGCAAACACCATGGGGGGGGGGCAAAAGGGGTCTCTCGCCTTAGCACCGCGCGCATTCGCCTCAAGCAGTTGCAGCAGCTTCCTTCAAACACGACGAGAGTGGGGGGGGGTCAAAAGCGGGTCTCTCGCATTAGCGCCGCGCGCACACGTCTTAGGCAGGTGCAGCAGCTTCCTTCAAGCACGAAGGGATGGGGGGGGTCAAAAGCGGGTCTCTCGCCTTAGCGCCGCGCGCACTCGTCTGAGGCAGATGCAGCAGCTTCCTTCAAGCACGACGGGATGGGGGGGGGTCAAAAGCGGGTCTCTCGCCGTAGCGCTGCGCGCATTCGTCTTAAGAGCCGTTCCGGCAGCTTCGTCCCTTTCCAGAACGGGCCTCTCGCCTTCGCCCCCCGCGCGCACTCGCTTGCAGGGCCGGCAGCGGCTTCCGGCAATCGAAGTCGGGGCTCGAGAGGTGGGCGTCAGGGCAAACGGGGGTCAGTCAGAGCGCTGGATCCTGCAGGATGCTGCAGGGCCAGGGTCGCATCGACCCAGGTTAGGGCGTACGATCCTGCAGGATCCTGCAGGATCCTGCAGCCTCTTGCAGGCTCCTGCAGCGCCTGACTGACCTGGGTTTGCAGTGACCCGGGTCGGTAGATCCCCCAGCAGGGCGTCTCCTCTTTCAAAACGGTGCTCTCGCCTCAGTTCGGCGGCGACCGACGGGGGGAAGTGAGAAGGAGAAGGCCATCTCAGAAGGCGGCGGGGCTTCTCGGCATCCCTTTGGCCTTCCGAGAATTGTTTTGGGTGTCTTCGAGGAGCGCTTAGAACACTTCTCAGAAGGCACGGCCCAGGAAAGGCACTTGGGAGGTGTGCGCGGGCAGCCCAGGGAAGGCACTTGGGAGGTGCCTGCGCGCGCCTGGGAAAGGCGCTGGGGAGGTGCCTGCGGGCAGCCGAGGAAAGGCGCTGGGGAGGTGCCTGCGGGCAGCCGAGGGGAGGCACCTGGGAGGGGGACTTCCGAGCCCTCCGAGAGGGCCTTCTCCTTCGCACTTCCCCCCTCCAGGCTCGCCGCCGATCCGTGCCGCGCGCAGCCGTCTTCACTCTCGCAGCGGCTGCAGCGGTGGAGGGCGGCTCCCCTTTTCCAAGAACGGGGATTTCGATGGAGGAGTCATCACACTCGAAGATGGATTTCCGAGGGATTTCGATGGAGAAGTCATCACATTCTAAGTCATCGATCGATGGATTTCGATGGATTATCGATGGAGAAGTCATCACATTCGAGGACATCCGTACCAGCTGCACGGATGGTGGGCGGCTCCTTTCAACATGGTGGATCTCGCTGGAATGTTTTTTTGGAGCTCATGACCAGAAGGGTGACCCTGTGCAATCGTTACACCGATGAGGGCGAGCTTTTTCTGAGAGGGGATCTCGCTGGGCACCTCATCGAACTGTATAATCATACCTTTTCGCACCCTTCTTACTTGCCAGCGTAATCCCAGGCCTGAATGCCGTGTACACGAAGTGCTAGTTTTTCGAGGGCGCGGTTCTTGCTGTGCAAACGGAAGGCTCGTCGGGACTTCTGAGGAGGGGACTTGGATCGGGAGGGTGTACTGCAGCATCGTGTATGTATCTTGGGTTTACCCTGATCCTCCTCTTCTGCACCAGGCCTCCCTTCCTCCTCTTCCCTCATCTTCCCCCTTCGCGTCTTTCCCCTCCGTGTCCGACGGCCCCCCTCCCCTTCCCCCTCCCTCCCCATACTCCTCCTC